CAAAAGGTATGAGTATAATAATGATTCTAACATAACACTAAGCCAAACACCAAAAAACAACTACATATGTGTATGTACAGCCACACACATATACATATACATGTACATATATATATAAATACATTCAATATATATATTTCCATTTCCATTTTGTATGTTGAAGTACTGAAATAACTCAAATTAAATAAAAACACTTACACTGACAAGCTACTCAATATCGCGTTCATAATCGAATGTGACTCATCTGCGATTATGAACGCGATATATGTGATCTATGGCTCTGTGTATTAAATGCCGCTCCATCTGAAAGCACGTGACGGAAATTTACTAAACATGTTGTAGTCAGAGGTCTATCCACCTTTTTCCTGGGGGCGCTGCTGTAAAAACGATTATGGGTATAACTTCCACCGGAAGTAGTAGCAGCATTGACTGAGTTGCGCCGACGGTGAAATGTTTTGTTTATGTGCGGTTTGTTTTTCAGGCGGGAATATATTAAAATGGCATTACAAAGCTCTGGAACAACCTGTGCTGTCCGTGGATGCACTTGTAACCAGACGAAGCTTAATTTGTGGCTTAAAGAACAGTGCTATATACACAAACCTAAAGTTAGAGCGGAATGCACTTGCGAGAGAAGGTACAGTTTTCATCACCTTGCTACTAACAGTGTGGTGCCATCACAGATGAACTGCTATGGCTTACAAACAGCATGGTTCTTGAAATGCTGGGGGGAAGTTGTTAAATCTGGAGGTAATGATGATGGGCCTGGATATGTGTGGCCTGGTCTATGGCGTTTAAAGTTGATGTGTTTTGCCTTCCTCAGCCCTACATACTTCCTTGTGCCTGCATTCGGGTATGGTTAGCAGTGTAATTTTAAATGTTTTATAATTTTGATTATAATTTTAGATTTTACAGAGTAAAAACGTATTTGCACAGTGCATTGTATCAAATTATACATTTAAATATTAGTACATTGTCGTTAAACACAGGTTATTTGAGAGTCCTCATCATCTTTTTTTTTTTTACATGTATTTACTGACCTTCCACATTACTGCAGCTGCGTGACAACATGAGCACCCTGCCGTCTGTATGACACCTGACCTAGACACTAAAACCCAAGCTTTATGGTGTGACACATTCAGGCTTTGACTCGGCTCTACATCAGCTTTTAAGTACACGAACTCATTGCCCACATCTTTGAATAGCACACGACCTACTTTATTACTGTGAAGGTATTGGTAAGCCTCTGAGCTTTTCAAATTGCTCATTGCCTTACCGTCACAAGCAATTGAATCAACAAAGTAGTTAAAAATGCTACTGTACGTTATGCGCGGCCACTTTTTTAAATCGTCCTCCCATTCCTCTATTAAGGAAGGGACGGGTATGTTGATGTTGTCCTTTATAAGTTCTGTCAGCGTGTGATTCCACATCTTGCTATGAATGAGTAGCGACACTGTGACTGCAGCGAATGATTGTTTACGTCGTAACGGAAGTTCCACCCATAATTCGCGCAAAGCATCATGGGGCGTAGGAAAAAGGTGGATACCTGTGCCAGCGCTCGCTGTGAGACTTTTAAACGACTTCCGGTTCCGGAGGGTCAGATGCAGAGTTGCCAAATCCGCGTATTATACGCGACTTTGGGCTTCTTTTTTTGTAAAGTTGCGTTTGGTCTTATTTAAAAAAAAACATGTTTGCTTGTTAGGAAAACCTGACAAGCAACTTCGTTTCTTTTCATTTATGTTCATTGTATTCTCCAATGCATTGATTGACACGATGTCTGCTCACAGTTAATAGCCAATCAGTGCAAAAATATAAGTGCTGTAGCGTAATCACTAATTTGTCAAATATTCCACCCCCTCCGCACGCGCCTTCTTTTTGAACGTTATTTTTGAGAGCGAGCAAGCGCAAATCCTGGCAGCGGCAGGTCGCAGCGCCACTTCCGGTGGCATCCCCAGCTGCCACTGGCAGCTGCCAGAGTTCGTGGCAGCTAAAGTTGCGTGAAAAAATCCCGGGTCGCGGATTGCGGTTTTTTGGTCTTATTTAAAAAAAAACATGTTTGCTTGTTAGGAAAACCTGACAAGCAACTTCGTTTCTTTTCATTTATGTTCACTGTATTCTCCAATGCATTGATTGACACTCTGTCTGCTCACAGTTAATAGCCAATCAGTGCAAAAATATAATTACCGAGCAAACAGCAGAAACGGCGAGAAAGACCGTGGCAGCTGCTACGAACTCTGGCAGCTACCAGTGGCAGCTGGGGCTGCCACCGGAAGTGGCGCTGCGACCTGCCGCTGCCAGAGAGAGCGCCAGTCCCTGCTGTTATTTTTCTTCAGTGAGGGATTGAAGAAAAATCAAATCCAAGCGATGACAGTAGTAGACATAGAGGAGTGGGATGACTTTTTTCCTTTATAAGGTAGCCTAATTTTTTTTTTTTACAATGTTTTTGTAATGTATTAATTATCACGGGCTGTAAAAAAAACTAAACAAAAACAAGTAGGCCTATACTAATACTAAGAGTAGATTTGGTTCGAATAGCCAATGTTTTAGTAGGCTATAAACATGTGGCTATGTTACAGCTCCCCTTTGAAGCTCTTGTGTTTTTCTCCTTTTCCATCGGTCCAATCCTATTCTGCTCACAGGTGATTGGAGATGAGCTTTGTTCCTGCTTTGTTGCAGTTTGCTGATTTTTGTAAAATAACTTATGTTTTTGCCTTTCAGATAAAAGGGTAGTTTCAGTTTAATATGTTGGGGGCTCATTTATTGGTAATACATAATATTGATGATAATAAATTATCAAAAAATATTGGGCTTGTTTTTGAAGCTGCGGTTGCTTATTTGTCTCGCGAGAGTTGGCAACAGTGGTCAGATGTGAGAGAATCCGTATGAAAATGGAAGGGGTTGCAGCTTCTCCAAACTTCTTGGGGGAAAGTAAAGCTGGATATGTCCTAAATAATGTTGCCGAGGTCGTGGAGAGGATTTTGACATTTGTCCCGACTAAAAATCTCCTCCGGATAGCAAGGTAAGTTAATGATGCTAGCTGAGTGTGGATGTTTTAGCCTGTTAGCTTTGAGCTAATCAGAAGACCATCACAGCTTAAGCGGTATTATATAAACTAATTTTATAAATGAACAGCATTTGTATGTACACGTTTACGTTGTTGAGTGATTAGGTTGGTACTATCTTACTGGTTTCGCTTTTTCTTTCTCAAGACTAGATCAACTAAAATACACCAGTTATTGCTGCCAGAAAATACGTTCAAATATCTTAATTAACGATAGTTGATGATATTCATCTGGAGGTCAGTTGTCACTCAGATTCGTAAACAGAATGCAAATAAATGAGTCTGGATGGTTTAACTTTTGATTTTAGGTGATGGTTCATTGCCATAGTAACTTGCACTCCACGGCTAACCTGCTCCGGGGCGGGTTATGTTCGGAGTTGGAGATCTCAAACTGAAATTGGATCAGATCAGATGTGAGCAAAGTGACACATGTCCGACACAAAAAAAAGTCACTAGTACTAAAAAAAATTCTGGCTTTAATTATAATGACTTGGAGTTATTTTATATGACTTATATAATTATACGATTTATATTATTATTAATCCATTACACACAAGCAATTTTAGTTGAACAATTATTATAAATCATTTATTTTAAATGAATGTTAATATATACAGATCGTATGTAATATAAATAAGCTGTAGAATCTATAGATAATGCATTAAAAATGACTGTAACGTGACCTTACATGTTCGAGTCTCTATCGCTGTATATAACAAGTTTCACTTGTGACTGCACTGATAAAGCAAGATCATTTATTTTATTTGTCCTCTTTCATGAACAAGTACTTTTTTTCATTGTAAATGCATTTAAATTCATATTCTTCAATCTCTTAACCTTTAGCAAAACCTTTAACCAAGGCTCGTGATTGGCTGTTCGCCAGTGATGTCACACATTCATGTGCACGTGCTCCACAAACTCGGGATCAAGCCTGAGTTGACAAAGAAAGTTGATGATCAGCGTCATGGTACCAACAAAGCCGGATTGGAGTGGTTTGGTTTTGTCAACTCGGAACTAGACCTGTAACTCTTAATTTGTTCATCTACCATCATGGTACAGGCCCCTGATCTGTTAGTTGATCCTAATCGTGTAAAACGCAAACACCAGATCGGCGCTTCATTCATTGAGTGCGTAGAATAGATTATGATTGTACCTTTTAACAACAATTACTGTCATTATGAAACTATCCTTTACTATATACTGTAGACTACGACGATTGACGGTATACAAACTACAGTGTGTCTTAATATCTTTTTGTATTTAGTATTGTTTATATTTGAGTTTGTAAGAATATTTCTGCCTGTTTTTTTGGTAATCGAGTATTGGATTTTTTTTTAGACCTAACTGTACAATAGCTATAAAAATACATGTATAATAACAATGGAGCATGAATAAATGATCAAAAGCAAATAATCTTATGGTTTTAATAAACAATACGGTTAAAATACATTATGTAATAGTATATATGTGCGCCTATGTTGCAACATGCCACCCAAAACTCTCTCTTACTTATTTTAGTAAAACATTTAAATGTTTTTTAGACAACAAATCATTGATTTATTACAACAAAACACTGTGAATATCTTTATTTGTGTAATTCCATATGAGCAACCAGTTGCAGACTGAAGTCTGACAAAAAAACTAAAATGCACAATGTTTATATCAATATCTGTTTGTATGTTGATATTAGTGTTTCTGTTGCTGTAGTGTGTGCAGGCTATGGAGGAATTGTGCACGCAGAGTCCTGAGGACGCAGCAGAGACTGACCTGGCTCTCTGCCTCTGGCTCATCCATATACGAGGAGCATGTTTTGCTTAGAACTATGGCAGAAGACTTGGAGGTCTGATGGTCTTTGCTGCTTTTTTTTTGTAACAGAGAAGTTAAAGTTCTTATAAACTCTAGAAATGACAAGCATATTCTTTACAGATTTTTGAAATGTCTGTCTTTTCTCTGACTCCCTGCAGAAGATCTATCTGCTGCCCCAGACAGCTCTCCTAATGGTGGATGGGGAAAACTTCAGTTGGCCTTTTAGTTACAGACACAAAAAGGGTAAGTTATATGATTACTTGTATTTTAAAAAACCATGTTGAGCATGATGAGGAGATTCACCCGTTCTCTTCCATCCATTCTTGCTACAGCCAGGAAGTGTGAGGATGAAGTAGAGTCAGATCCTGTTGAGAAGCTGAGATGCTTACTGCCTAGCACTTGTGATGTAGTAGGCATTGTCGCATCAGGAATTGTGGGTAAGACTAATTGTCCCTCTTTCCCTGTATTCTGCCATTACTCTTGTTTGTTGGCAATGTCAGTGCAGCACTGTAACTGTAATTTCTTATGCTGTGTGATACAGTGACCCCCAGTGGTTTACCCAGCAGCCCCCCAGAAGAGCATGAAGATGGTGAAGCTGGCTTCAGTCTGCTTTTCCCTGCCATGGATGGGGTCACCATCCGGCCTTTTCACTTCTGCAAAAAGAGCCTCAGTGAATCGGCAATGGAGGAAGCAGGTGAGTTGTTTAGATTGTAGCAGCTGGTGCAGTTGCGTTTTTTTTTTTTCTTTTTCAAAGACACATCTTTTCACCAAGACAGTGAATATAAATATATAAATATATTATAATATATAAGTGTTTATATGATCAGAAATACAGTAAAAAGAATATTGTTAAATATTATTGCAACGTAAAATAACTGTTTTCTAAATTAATATATTTTAAAATGTAATTTATTCCTGTCATTGCAAAGCTGAATTTTCAGCAGCCATTACTTCAGACTTCAGTGTCACATGATCCTTCAGAAATCTGATTTTGTCTTCATGAAACATTTCTTATCAATGTTTAAAACAGTTCATATTTTTGTGGAAACCATGATAGTTTTGTTTCAGGATTCTTAAAATAGTCCGTTTAAAAGCACATTTTGAATTTGAAATAGGATCTTTTGTAATATTAATGTCTTTTTGATCAATTTAAAGAGATAGTTCACCCAAAAATGAAAATTGTCATAATTTACTCAACCTCATTCCATTCCAAACCTGTATGAATTTCTTTCTTCAGCTTAACACAAAAGAAGATATTTTGAAGAATGTTGGTAACCAAACAGTTGATGGTACCCATTGACTTCCATAGTATTTTTTCCATACGATGGAAGTCAGTGGGTACCGTCAAATGCTTGGTTCAAGATATCTTCAAAATAGCATTCTTCAAAATATCTTTTTATTTGTTCTTAACAGAAGAAAGAAACTCATATAGGTTTGGAACGACATGAGGGTCAGTAAATGATGACAGAATATTTATTTTTGGATGAACTATTGCTGTATTCAATCTTTGCTGTACAAAAGTATTAGTTACAATAATAATAATAAGTCTTACTAACCCCAAACTTTTGAATGGTAGTGTGTATAGACATTGGTTTGGTTGGATGGTAAGTCATGTCAAAATACTCTGTATTTGATTTTCAGGGTTGATCAATAATTCTTATCTAAAGGTGGTGCTGATGTTTGACTATGAGACCTGGAAAGCTGGAGGTGGGCGCTTTCTTAAAAAGCTACTGGAACCTCTTTCTCAAAATAATGTACTTATTGTTGGAGGACAAGTTGAGAGGGCCTTTTCCAACAACACAACCTGGTAAGTAAAGAAAGTTCTTGATTTTAGATGAGTCAAGTTAGTTCCTGTATTTTATTTTATTTTATTTTTTTTGTCATGTTGTATGTAGATGTTTTATGGTCAAGACTTTATACGTCCTCTTCCCAATATTTTTGTCCAATTTTTTTCCCCCTCATCTGCCCACTATGTGAATAAGAGATCTACTCTGCTTGATTTCACACTGTGCCTTTCTATATCATGATAATTTCTAATTTAACATTTTCTCATTGTCACATACAGGAATATATATTTCTCACCCCATTTCCTCTACTGTCTCAGACATTATTACAAATATAATCTTCATTAGTAAGGTTCAAATGTGTTCTGTCTCTTTGCAGCTGTTCTCTAGGTTCTTTTGGTGCAGTTGGACTGACCTTCAGTGGCTCGAAGATCCAGGGTGCCTCAGTGCTGGTGGACCAGGACGTAAGCAGCCCGCAAGCAGCAGAGGCCACTATCCAGCGGCTGAAGGCTGCTAATATCCCAGAGAGAAACACCATGGGCTTCATGTTTGCCTGTGTGGGCCGTGGCCACAACAGCTACAATAACCAGTGTAACGTGGAGGCCAGCGCTTTCCGGAAGATCTTCTCCAACATTCCACTTCTGGGATTCTTTGGCAATGGGGAGATTGGCTGCGACCGTATTGTCAAAGAGAACTATACATTGAGCGAGACAGATGCTGATGGACTACAACACTCTTTTACTACAGTCATGAGTCTGGTGCATTTTGGCTAACACAAACTCAAAACTGAGACCGTTGTCACGGCAAATGACTAGGAATCCCCTTGTTAACTTGGTCTTTCAGGACAGATGCCGGCTGCTTGTTTAAGTTAACAGAGCAGGTCCGATGGTGATCAGGTATAATACTCCTAGGTTCTTTCCTTAGACTTTTTTCAGCATTAAAAAAACAACAAAAACAATTAGGGAAGTGAAAACCGTGGGTACAATTTTGAGAGCATGCGAAATCTGATGTCTGAAAACACTGAAGTGTTCTCTTACACCTTGTTTGGAAAGGTCATTACTTACAGAATGGTTCTGAAGAACGATTAGGATTTAGTTTGAATGGCATGGTGCTAAACCTTGACCTTTGACTTCAGTTTATACATAAAACTTTTTCATTTTGTACGTGTAGAGCACAGCTTAAATCTGTCAACCGTTCAGTTTTCTTGTGGGCTGTATGGCTCTCTCAGGCCTTATATACAAATAGTTTGTAAAATTCAGGCACTTTTGAAAAAAATGAAAAGGTAATTGTGAAGGAATGGCTAATGATGTGGCCTTTCATCAACCTTGGTACAGCTTATGGGACTTTGGTGGGAATTTCGCTAAATTTCACTTCTGATCTTACATGTCCAATAGCAAGTGCTACAAAACTGCAGGAAGAGTATTCACAATGAAAGACATATCTGGCACATATCTATATACTGTAACAATTGACTTGCTTGCATCTTTTAGTGTCCAGATTGGAATAATAAAGGACAGAAGCGGAAAAAAGTGACATTTCTTTGTAATATATCAGTGTATTTACTCTGCCTGTCCCAATCAAAATCCAGTTTAATTCCAACTGGGTAATCCTCAATATTCATCAGTTCTGTTGAGTTCTTCTTAAAGGTTCATCATTTAGTCTGTTCACTAGCTAAATAACACATTTTGTTGATCACAGATAAGTGAAGTCTCAAAGGGCTATTTGCCTGCATTGTGGAGATATATATTTGCTGCAGTATTTAGAAGGTTGATTTAAACTGTTGTTGCCAAATCTTTTTTTCCCAACTTTGTTCGGATCATATATATAATACTTTGCTTTAAAGAAAGTAAGTTTTACTACTGTCACATATTTTTATGGCAATGTATTGGTTTTTCTTCATCTGCTGCTGGGTCGTGCAGATATCAGCTCATGAGGTCTGCATGTATATAATAAAATAAATGGTGTCATCTGTTGATCAGTGTGGTGCAGTCCATACCCTTTTTACAGTTCCAGGTGTACATGCGCGGAAGTAAACTGTATGACATGAAAGACCACGGAAAATTGAACTTTTAAGTTCCTATTTATTCCAACAGCAAAATAAATAAAAAATCAACTATTGTGTTTTCATAACTTTCTAAGATAGGAAACAAATATTGAGAAATGAACTATGGCAGCCGGAAGAGAGAAAGATGTCAAATTTAGGCACCCTATCTCTCCAGTGTTTCGAAAATTTTGTATTTTATTGCCAGGACAATATAACTCGCAGTATAGTGTTGCAAATGAACTTGATTTAAAATGAAAATATAAAAAAAGAACTTGATTGACACTATTAATTATTGCAGTCTGTGAAAAGGGTCCAAGAATTCATCAATGCGTTCTGTCTTGTTTCTCCAGTAGATGGCTCTCTCGTGCAACAGCAGTGTTTCTTGAAAGCGATCAGTGGAGTTATTTGGTAATTCCAGTCAAAATGATCTAGAAATAAAATCTAAATACCAATTAAATTGATAATTCACTTAAATCTTTTAAAGTCTAAAGCCCAAATAAATCGGATCATGTACTGTTAAATTAGTATTGAACGTGATAAACTAAGGCATAGATATTAGACGCAGGGCGATCCCTTACCAAAAAGAAGTATACTTCAAGTTTATTTTATCAAGTATACTTAAAGTTCAAGTATATTTTGAAGTAAACTTTATGTAGTAAGTATACAAATATCAGTGTACTAGTAGTATACTTGTAAGTGTACGATTTCAATACTCCTTGGGACTAAATTGGCCCACTTTCTAGTTTATAAAAGTATCCTTTTAAGTATAATTTAAGTATAACAGTAGTAAACTTTGAGTACACATCTAGTTTACATCAATATTTTTAGGTTTTGATGCTGTTTTATGTCTGATGATCGTATTAGATTACATATGAAAGCGTCTGTTGTTTCGGTTTCTTCTTCAATTGTGTTTTTTGGATATTCTGTACAGAAGATGCGTACTAGCGCTCCCTACAGTATAACAATGAATACATGGATTCTAGGAGCACATGTATAGCTCAAATATATTTAGACTTTTTCTAAGTATAAGTCAAGTATACTTAAATTTAATTTTAAGTATATTTCTGTGAAGTACATAAAGCCCATTTCTAAGAAGTACATAAAAAGTAGACAAAATATACTTTCCTATTTTTTTAGTTTAAAATAAGTATACTAATAGCACACTTGAATAAACTTCTTTTTCATAAGGGATGAGCTTCAGTTTTTTTTGTTGTGAGTGTGTGGGTTAGTATTATTAGATGTCAATGCCAAGCGCATCACAACAGACAGGCTGTTTCCTGTTCCTGTGGTTAGGTACCCTGGTAGCCAGGAGCAGGTCTCAATCGGGGCGGTGGTCAGATAGCGACCTGCCTCAGGACTAATGCAAACTGAAGCCATTTAGCGTTGCAGTACAGTTCCCTCAGTCCCACACTAATTCCCATGGCCACAATGCACAGCAGGTGAAAACCTCTTACAGGTGAAGAGTGGGTTATTTTATAGTCCCTTCACCACAAAAAAGAGTGAAAACATCTGTTTAGCTACTAACAATCTCTTTGGTCACATTCCATATACACTGCCACTCAAAAAGGCCCCGGTGGAATTGTGGTAAATCTGGTTTTCAGGAACAGACACAGCGTTATGGAGGAACATGGCATCACGATGTGCACTAAAAGTGCAGATCTGTTGGGGTGCAGGCGTTTTAAAACCTGAACATTGTCGCCTCAGGGCTTTTGAAGTAAAGTCATTCAGCCTCACTTTAAGAGTCTTTCCCTGTTGAGAGCAGACTTAGAAACAGGACAGACAGACCTGAGCTCTGGGACCATTGTCATAAAGAGCAATGTTTTGTAGGTCACACACAGGGGGTGGGCCACTTTGCTCAGAGTTAGTTAGACATCCCAAGTGTGCAAAATATAGTCAGATATTTATAGAGGAAAAACAGAAATTTGAGGTAGAATGTCTATAAAACAGACTATGCATATATAGACAATATAATATTAATCTATATCTGCACTGAAAAAAATTGAGAAACAATTTTCACTCAGAAATCACTAGTATTTCACAAACACAAAGAAACAGAAAGTAGCACATTGAATTAAATGAATTACTCCAATGATCTTTGTTTTATTTACAACTTAAAAAAAATTTTTTTAATTAAATTTATTTTATTGTAATTTCCTCATCTGCACTGTATGGATAAATGACAAATATTGAAAAAGAATCTCATAACGTTATTAGTATGGAACTTAGCATAAAGTAGTTTGATTATTTTGTAGTGAGACATTGATAAAAGCAATATTAATGCAATATAAAGGGAAATGTTGTGTTTATGTTAGAAGGTATATATTCAGAGATTTGAAATTTTAAAAGTGCACATATTTATAACTGTCAAATGCAAGTGTTCAGTTTATTGATGCTGCTGTTGCATAGTGTACAGTAGTGTCTGTCACACCAACCAATGTATAAAAAACATGAAATAATAAAGAAATGTGTATAAATAATACCTTTACAATGTAATAATAACTCTCATTAGTACTTCTAAATAAAATATTAATGTTAAGGATGTGTTTGTTCTGTAGTATCACATCCACCTCACTGATCTGAAAAAGCTCAGTTCCTATCATTCAAGGAACTGTCACAACATAAACATGACACCCCACTTAGTCTGGATTTTCTTTAATGAGCATCACGCTAATTAGCTATTATTAATTCAACACAATTTTGTTGTGAATTAAATGTATTCAAATATTTACTCAAGGTTGTTAATTTAATGCAAGTCAGACGTACAACGACAAGCTAAAAGCATGACATGCTAAAGTGACAGACTGTTGCTAATTGTGCAAAGAGCCGGTAAATGAGAACTGATACTATTAGTTCCCTAGCCAAACCATATATTTACAACTGAAAAGTCAGTCATACATATTCATTATTACATATTATCTACTGTACATAATAAAATAATTGCAGTAAACTGTTACTTTGCTCTCATTAAAAATAAGACAAAGAAAGAAACGGTTAAGACACTTGGTATTTATAATAATTAATTAAAAAAAATATTAATAGTTTTTAATTTATATAATAAATTAAATGTAAATTTTCAAATATCATTACAATAATAATTCTTATATATGAAATTATTAAAATTATTATTTAAATTTAGCTTTGAAAATTATTAAGTGAAGCGATTTTAAACGCAATGTCGGGTGGTCAGGCCCCTTAAATATCAAAAGAGCTTAAAAAAAGAGCTATGAAACCTACATGCATGGACACACACTTACACCCTGAATTCAGTTCTCAAATGAATGCAATGTCTCAATAATTCAGCAGAGCTACATTACCACTGGGTGGAATAATGGACTGTTGAGAATTCACAGGGGAGACAATACATGTTTCATCTGACTACCTTTGTCTCTGGGTCCTTTAAGTGTTTGTAGTTTCTGACCAAACCTTTCTTAGCTGGCCTCGTGCTTCTTTTAGTCTCCCCCACAAAGTGCAAATTAACCACTTCTAGCCTAAAACCAAATCAATATTCACACTGCAAACATGACTTTAATAAAACCACAGGGAGTCATTTTAACAACTCTCTGAAGACTCAATCTTCATATTTCTCTCAAAAATAGTAGAAAAGATACTGCTGTCTGCAACTAGAAAAACAAATAGTGCAGAAAACCTGTAGTACTCAGTAGGTATGCTTTCATAAATCCTCACATCATATCAGCTCTAGTTTCTGTTTGATGGAGTGTTTAAGTGAAGAAAACTGGACCTGAAACTACCTCTGAGATACTTTTGACACTGATGGAGGGAGACAGTAAGTTGGGGAAACAATGAAAGGGTTGAGTGCAGATATGTGACATCACAAGCAATTCCTGCTCTGACCATTAGACACAGAACTCAATAATTCACATCTTTCATAACCAGTGCACTTGAACTTGTGAATTTGAATGTCCTCAATAATGAATTCCATGCTGTATCTATTAAGAGTGAAAATATTACAGACATAAAAATACTAAAGTTTAAAATGCAGCCATACATTGCATGATGTGCAATTCCTAGTAAACACACTAAGAACATTAAACAAAAGACCCTGGTGGGGTTTTTATCACTTTAGACAATAAATATTATTTTCTTTAAGAAATCTCACCTTAGAGAGATCGACCATAAGGCTGTAGTCTAAGAAAATCTCTCTGGATCTTTATCATTTGCTATTATCTAAAGGAATGTTGTAGGTTTTCAGATAATAAGTAGAGATCATCAGCAGATACACAACAGATGACATTATAAAGCCAGTCATAATCAAATAATTCAATGTGTTCCTTTAGATTTAAATCAGTGCCAAAAGGAGCATTTTTGACATCTGAAAAGCTTAGGTGTTTGCAGAGAACAAATAATAAAAAATGCTGACAGCATTCATTCCTTTGTAGTCAATGAATTTCTGAATTCTATATAGCATTGAACGGCTGGACTCATAGCAAAATCAATAAACAAGTAACCCAAACAAGAATATTGCTGGATGTTGTAGCATTGCACACAGTATTCAAATGGCCACCACATCGAATCTCAAACCAGCTTTCAAAGAGATATGAGCCAGGAGAAAAATGCGAATAAATGATACATCATATTTTAAAAAGCTTCTCAGGTTTCTTATTGAAAACATTCTTCTTAAGTGCATGGCACCCCAGTGCAGTGAAATTGCTCGGCTGAAGACATCTACTCCAGAGACTGTTACCATGGCTACAGAGGAGTTTTTACACTTCACATTTACATAAAAGTTTTCCGCTGTATGGATTTTATCCTCTACTTCCTGTAGAAGAACTGGGTCAGACACACCGAGCAAAGCTGGGAGACTAGAAGAGCTGGATAAAGCCAGGAGAAATGAACAGGAGCAGTCTGACACTGTGAGAAAAAAAATGTGCAAAAATTGTACCATTTAGGAAAACAACAACCCCTAAAATTTACCCCTATATTAGTACCTTAGACTATTAATTTGTACTCTTAATGTACTATCAACTTTTTAGCATTGAATAAGATAAAGATGTCCCTTTGAGGGTACTTCCCCACTGACAAGCTGTTGTACCTCTAAAAGTGCAATTTTTGTATATTTTTTGTGTATGATGAAGTTGCAATTCAAACACACTGGGCTATGAAACTGATTGAACAGCTGAAACAGAGGAGGACACTTCACTGAAATGACAAAATTACAATTACAACTACAAAATTACAATTAAAGACTGAAATATGGGAAATTGTATATAACAATTATATATCTTCATTGCCATTATTTTATTTACATTTATTCATATATGAATAAATGTAACAATTTATTCCCCATGACCTATAAATGACATAAAATGCTTATTTTATATATATTGTATATTTGTATATTTTATTTATATTTATTATAGATATATAGAAATAAAAATGAATTAATTATTTTAATATTTTGTTATCATTAACATTTGTTAAACAGAAAATGACAAAGGAGCCTGCAGACAAAATTATATATAACTATAAAATGTATATATAAAGCTCTCTACTAAATTTCTCTAACTTAATAACCTGTTGTTTCTGAAAAATATCATTTTTCAGCAGCTAAATGTTATTCATAAAAAATTTTTGCAGGGTTAACCCTATGATCATTGTGTGACCCCACAATAAACCGTATGTAGGGAATACATACAAACAAACTGTCTCACAATTGAACATACTTTAAAAGAGTTGCACTTCACTGATCATGCATGGTTTCGTAGAGAGCTCTGACAAACCCAGCTCAGTGGCTCTAGATACTCCCCTCACCCATACACAGGGCATGAGGGTCTATGGGTGGGTGGGGGTAAGGGATTGGAGCCCAGCAGCACTTCCCTGTGGCCCCTCCTGGGAGCCGCCCATCAGCTGCTCTCAGCTAAATGCACTCACATATGAATATTTCAGTGCCATTTAATGCTCCTGCTGCAGCCCCCGAGGAGCCCGGCATCAATTTGTGAACATGCCGCTAAAAGCCAGGACGTATAATCCAGAGTGAGAGCTGCTCTCCTCCCCAACAGGGCCTCAAGTCCCCAGCTACAGCTTTGGCAACTTTCTCCTGCCAAACTCTGCTGACTTCTCCCACCCCGGTTTAAAAATATATGTATATCTGAGCGAGAAGCAGACAAATGGTCTGGTCGTTTGCCCCCGGTTGGTCAGTTTTCCCAGAGCTCTTGTTGCTGTGCAGTCTGCTGGCTGTTAGGCAGTGGAGAGGCCAGTGATAGTCTGTTCATCTTCTGGCCCCATGGTGCTGCAAAAACGCTCGCATGGAGCAGGACAGCGAGGATAATATAGCCACGCTCACACCGCCTGCCTGCCCACTAGTCCCATGGGCACCTGAAGCAGAAATCGCCATATTTAGATATATACATGCCATTGTTCACTCATCAGGTGTGAAAACATGAGCACGCTGCACTTAATTAAACAGCTGGAATCCTAATCTAACCAGTAGAAAGCACAATGAAAATCATTGCTGGCACTGCAGCCTTGCAGCACACTGAACAAGGCTCCAGAGGAGCAGAATATTATCTCAAATTCAAAAACACCAAATTTTGACTTTCAAAAGTCAATGCAGACAATTGTCAAATGTAATTGCATTATTTTTTTGTTTTCTTATTCAGTACTTTTCATTCAATACTCAAAATTGCAGGAAAATGTATGTGAACAATTTCATAAATTGCAGAAAATTTTAAGAAACACATTAACTGTTTGTTAAAATTTTATCTTATATGAAACATTTTTGCACACCTGAAGCTCAATAGTGATGTCACAGAGCAGCAACTCAAAGCACAGGAGTAAATCAACAGCAGAATAGCTTCAAAAGATGAATAAAATACTTCACACCCAAATATCCCAAGAATACTGCTGAACTGACAACAGCATTATAAAGATAAATGGTGCAAAATTCCTACTGACAGTTGTGCAGGTCTGATCTGCAGTGCAGGCATTTAGCCAAAAGAGGGTTAAACAGTCTATGGATAACTTTCCCCGTCCTGTATTGTGAATGTTCACATTGTGTTCAATAGAGACAGATGTATATTTGTTTGTGTGTATTTGTCTACTACTGAGTGATAAGACTGAAAATCATGAACACTTTATGCAGAAATCCAGCCAAATCTGAACGGTTCACAAACATATTCCTGCAACTGTATTAAGTACTGAAAACAATTGGACAACTAATAAGAATGAACTATGCAGGAGTGAACGCACAGTTTCTCATGGTGGTCTGCAGAGGAGCTCACACATATAGTGACACATATTGGTAAAGGCTCTTAATGAAGGTGCAAGAGCTGTTCTGTGTTGGCAGGGGCAGAGATACACGCTCAGCATTTGTAAAATAAAAGACCAGACTGACAGCAACACTGTTATGATAATAATGGCATTGCTTCCTCTGCCAACAATGCAGAAATGCCCTAAGGCAGCGCTAAAAAATTTATACTAATTATTATTTGAATGCTGCATTAAATCAGACGCATGTTAAATTATATATCAGCAACATGATTCTACTTTCAGAGGAGCATGCAATGAGGACCTGATTTTTTTTTTTTCACCAGTTATTCTGAGCTGGTGCTAAAATCGCCCATAAGCATTTATATGAGTTTCATGGTTTCAAAAAGAAAACTAGGAAAATCTCCATGTGCATTAAAAACAAAAATGAACAGAAAATGACTTAATAATATTCACTGCTATTTATGGTTATGGCGTGATTTATTTATTTCCATTCAAAATTGTGTGCATTGAATTCTGACTGGTTTTGGCACATGTAGCTGTTCTGGGGCTGGCTGGACACACAGCACTTTAAGTCTCATTTCTGATGAGAGCAGTAAATAATTTAGGGCTTAAAGCTGCCATTAGCCACACTTAAACTCTGCTAATGCAGACCACTGACAGTTGGCCTATCCGCATTGGATGGGACCATGGATCAAACGGTTCTGAACAAAATAATGGGCTATACTGAAGCACAAAATCTGTCAATAGGCATGTGTTGTTTGTTTTTGCTTCTGCATGTTTGTTGGTTACGCTGTGGTATTCCCATTACACAGCTTATTTTCTTTAAATGCATTCAATGTTTACATGCGTGTTCAATGCACAAAAAACAGTGACCCTGTGACAGCCTTATAGGCTATAACATTATTTCTTGTCCATAGCATTTCAGTTACAATTCTGGATGTTTATTTTCAATCATGCTTTATCCTTACTGTGACAATTAGGACCCACAATAAATATACTGAGCTTTGTTTGTTCAGGTGAATATGGACATTTCACTTTGCTATATAGGCTAATGGTAGGCCTACTATCCTTAAGGGATAGTTCACCTAAAAATGAAAATGTCTGTATCAAAAATGCCTGCGTTCCAAACCTCTGTGACTGACTTTCTTCTGTGGTATCTTTTGAAATGTCTTAAAAACACCATATCAATGGCAAGTAACTAAGAAGGGGTCAAATAACATTCTAACAAATAACAATTACAAACTTCATCAGTTGAAAATACCCCCTTACCTGAATATAAATAACGTTTTAATTTTAAAAACACCTATGCGTTTGTATTCATTTTGCCGTTTCATTTTGATAACTTGATTGAACTTCATTAACTGGGTTTTTATGCATATTTATATGCGAATGTTGGGATATCACGTTTACCATGATGCAACTAAAGTTTCCGCAAAAAAAAGTATTAAAAATGTGAATATCGCTTGATGTACAAATAAAAGTTTTCGTTACAAACGACAGAAACATACTGTCTGAATACACTTTTAGATGTGCATAAAACATCATATGATTTTGCCTCAAGTCATGTGACTGAGTATAAACATTAGGCTACACTTAACAAAAGAGCCCCCGTGCCTTTAGTGGTTTATTTTCAGTTGTTTGTGCCAATTTCCCCGGAAGTGACGATTTTGTTCTCTTCAACATATGAGATGAATACATAGGCTATAGGATGAAAAGACTGATTTTTTTGGGAATTGTTTTACTATATCATATTTCATATTTTCGCAAATATTAAACTCTGGAATGGATGGAAACATCGCAGCTGGCATGTGAAGACTGTCTCGTGGAAAGTGAGAAGGGAGTGTAGTTACCTGTGGCACTGCAGGACATAATTCATGTCACATGGCAAACGACAGTTCTTTTCTGATCATTTTAAAAGGACAGAACTCACCTTGGTCTCCGGGACCCTTCGGTTCGTGCGCTGCATGGGTGTCAGTATTACTAGCCTACTACATCTCGGCTATTGCCTTGGGGTTCAGATTGAA